CTTGCCAAAATTGAAGATGAATAAGCAGTTGACGACGATGTGGATGTTTTTGTGTCGTCTTTCATTTCTGCTACAAATTCTATTTAATAACTGTCAATGTAGAATGTCAATTAGCCCAAGGAAATTTTTTTCTGATGTGGAAGATCAGCCTAAGCCGCAACCACAGAGCATACTAAAATAAACGAAAAGCTTCGATACCAATTGTTGTGGAATTCGGGTTAATTTCCACCAATAATAACAAATTCACCTTGAAAACTATTATCTAGGTGACTAGTGTGAAAACGATTGTACTAAAAATCACCACAAGGTAAATTCCCAAAAAAGAGTTGAGAGGTCACAATGGTCTCTCTTAAAACTCATTCTCTTTAGACAGAACTACCAAGACAGATAATTTTAATAGGGCAATAATTAACAACAATTATACCCGACAATAGCTATTAAATAGACATAAAAGATAACACCAAAATTTAACGAGGTTCGGCCAAAATTATGCCTATGTCCTCGAACACTACTAAAATAATATTTCACTAATAGAAGAAATATTACAAAGAAAGAGAAAGAGTACAAATAACCTTTAATATAGAAGAAGACTTATATTTGTGGGATACAAAACTAAGGAGGATGAGAGCTCTATTTATAACAAAAGAATTTCCCCTCCTCCTTATAGAAAACCAATGTGGGATTCAAAATTTGTCAAAAAACCAACACATAACATAAAATCTTGCGTCCGTTCTTAATAATAGAATTAGATTTAACCTCATCTTACTAGCTTTTTTATCTTATTGATCTATTTCTAATTTCAACTCTCAATTTAGTTTTTTCATATTAATAAACATTCCTAAACATCTCATATATATCCCGTTTGAAATATAATAAAATCAATTATCTTTATATAATTACTCAAAATCAATATTTTCTAATAATCTTTTATTTCACAATTTATCTATAAATTTACCGGTCTGGTCTTTCTATAATGATTTTGAATATTTCTCTATACCTACAATTTTAATTATTAGGTTTATTTATTGTATGTATATCTATATTCAATATTATATATATATTTATTTTACTACAAAATATACTTCTATTTTATTTTACGAACAACACAACAATCCTCCCTTGTCCCAACTCTCTACTAGAAGAAGATCAAGCAATCTTTAGAGAGACTGGTTGTTCATCAGAAACCAGAGGAAGAAGGTCTGCAACTTCCATATATATACATATATATATATATATATATATATATATATATAGAAAAAAGAGGGGAAAAAATTCTAAAAACAATTACTTATACATACAAACTGACATAGTTATGATGATTAGATGTCGAAATTATTTGTGTAGGATAAGGCTGGCGACGGCCTTCTCCTCGGCCCTACCACATGGTCAACTTTCTGGAAAATATTTACATTGAGGCGAATGGTGTGAGCTAGAAGAAGAAGAGCCATCACCAAAAGCCACACCACAAGAGCATAGTCGAGTATCCGAGAGACATTTAGTTCCTGTGCCTTTGGGGTGAAAACCAGAAGTGAAATTCTGTACGTAAACGTCATGGCTGAGATAGCAACCCACATGATCACAGTCAAAATCCACATGAAGAACCTTCGTTTGAAAGGCAACCCTGTTATCAGCAACAAGATGATGCTCATCGATGCGATGAAACTTATCGTGTTTGCAGCAAGGTACTGACCATAATAACTCTGGTTTCGATACGCTGATATCGATGTCCCCGCCTCGTGTGTTCCATCAGTGATGTTGTTGCCTTGGGGTGCTTGTAACAAACCATCTTGCCATAGACCACCAGGAGGGGTTAGTCCAGCTTGGAAAGACATTGTTGCCATAAGTGATGCCACTACCATCAATGAATCTCGTTTCCTTGTGAGCCAATCTTCCTTCTTGAAAGTCTTTTCCACCCAGTGGTATTCTTTGGCTGGTTGATTGGTTGGAACATCTCGAGCAAACAGAGGTGTTGCTTCTTTCCTCAATCGAACCGTTCGAGGCCCCGAATTAGATATTTCCTCCGCTTTTAGAGCGCCAGCCTCTCGAAGGGATTCAGCCATCTCAAAGTCTTTCAATCCTCTCCTACTCTGTCCAAGAACATCTAATGCAGTTAAACCGTATGCATTGAGACCGTTCACTTCGACGCAGGTACTGGAAAGCAAGAATTTCATTATCTGCAAATTTTTACCAGTATACACATCTGATTAATATCAATAGCAATAGAAAGGGTTAGAACTGATATATTATGGTGATCCAATCTAATCCATACCTCAATTTGCTTGTAAGCAAGTGCTAGGTGCAATATAGACATGCCATACTCATCTTTAGCATTTACAATTTCATGGTCATTCATTACCTCAACCAACAGCCTTAAAGCCTCAAATTGTCCATACTTGACACACAAATGCAATATGGTTTCTCCCAATGCCACCGCGACCCGAGCTGCCTGTGGTCTAACACGGACTAGCTCCTTCAAAACTCCAACCTGGCCTTTCATGGCTGCAAGATGAAGAGGATTTCTTTTTTCTTTATCAACAGCCAGACACATGTCAGGGCTCACAAGTAGCAACACTTTAACTATCTCAACATACCCTTTTGCCGATGCCAAGTGAAGTGGCGATGAACCCTTTGAATCTACTTCTTTGGTGAACTCTGGCTTTCTTTGTATAATCTCCTTGACGAAATCTGTATGTCCAAGCATAGCTGCAACATGTAAAGGAGTCTCAACGGCGTAATTAACGAGCGCCCGATCGAGAAGCAACCGATCTTGTCGGATTAATTCTAACAAAACCGTTACGTTCCCTTCTTCTGCTGCTTCATAAAGCTTGTTTTCCAATGTTGCCGCCATTTTTGTCTTGTGTTCGAAACTGCAGATGATAGCTTAAATAGCTGCAAACGAAAGAATTTTCAAGCCCAATGTGATGGAAAAGTCGACATTCCTGGTGATGTCTGCAAAACCGTTGAATGGGTTTATAATTTTATAAAACGAGTTAAAGTTGACTAAGAAACATGTATGAGCAGTTGAGCACCACATTCAGTGAAGAGATTATCTATGGAAAAATCAAAAGATTGCAGCATTTGACAGCAGGTGGGGAAATTTGATCGAGTAGCCGACTGAAAACATTTCTATTGATTGTTAAATGTTTCACACTGTATGCATGGAAATGTTGGGTTTAGTCCCAGCACTGTGCAATATTTTCCGTCTTTGAACTTTGACCAATTCTATATTTGAAAAGATACCCAGAAAATATGAGTTATTTGGATTCAACAGTGGATAAAAACAAATCGATCAATTCAGCTGAGCCGCTTGGACCAAGTGAGAAGTAAAAGAAAAAACAACAAAACCCCTTTTTTGTTTCTGATTTTTACAGCTAATAGAAGCTAGAAAGTCATAAATTTCCCTGTTATTTTCTGCTTAAAGTTCCTAACTTTTTTGTCCTAATTCTAGAATACTAAAAACACATAGTGAATTTCCAATTTTCGTTACCTTTTGGTAATCTTCTTCACTCTCAAGCTAAGAGCTGAGTTGGTTTGGGATTAATTTTGGTGAAAGGATAACAGCAAAGGAATCAGATTTTACTTGGTTGAGCTAAACAAATTACAAAGGTGGCGAAAATGAACTTAAGTGCAGCGGAGGATGATTCAGTGTCAGAGATTCATATATCAACCGATATAGATTGGCATATGCTTGATAAATCTAGGTTCTTTTTTCTTTGTGCCGCTTTGTTTTCAAGTGTATCAGCTGCTCTTTACCCCCGTAGTAGTGCTGAAAACTGGGCAACAAGGTTCATCCACTAAAGTTTCTTGCTTTAAAATGTCTTCTCCATCATGAAATATGAAGGATTTAGAGGATTCTATAAGAGTTCTGGTACCTCTTTGATCGGAACAATCCCAGCTGGAGCAGCTTCTGGGTTGGACCCCAACTGATGTTGTAGAACTTATGGTTTAAGGATGCAATGATATCAATAGTAGCAAAAATGTAAATCCCAATGCGAAATTTTGTAGATTGGTCTTGATGCGTTTAGGGAAATTGTACACGCAGATGGTCCTAATGGACTATATAGGGGATTTGGGATCTCGATTTTGACTTAAGCACCGGCACCGGCACCCGCCGTTTGGTGGGCGTCTTACTTTGTTGCACGCAAGCTCATTTGGAGTTGTTGCATTGGTTACTCAATGTGTAAGAAACATGAGTTTGGTGGTTTTAGGTCTGATTCAAAGGCCTTGGTGGCGGTCCAAGGGCTAAGTGCAGCCATGGCTAGTGGGTTTTGGCTTTGATCACCGTGCCATTTGACACCATCAAGACCAAATTAGAGGTACTGGATGGGGAAGAGAATACGGTGAGAGAACCATAGAACGTTCTGCAAACAGTTCGGAATTTAGTACAAGGCGGATTGGCAGCTTGTTACAGAGGATTCGGCCCCGATGGGAATCAATTACTATCTCTGCAACAACCATGTTCACTACGTATGAGTTCTTGGAGCGGTTATAAGACCCAATAGCCCTCAACAACATGAAAAGAGAGGCTGAGGCCTTTATCCAGTTTGCTTAGTAAAGGGGTTTCGAATTGTAAATTATTTTCTTCCTTTGGCTTGCTAATGATGAGCATCACCTGCATGTTAATGTGTAAAGTATATCTACCAGTTTTCCTTCCTTTTTTTTCTTCATCTGGATCATTCTTAATAATAATATAAAGAAGAGAATATTCAAACATAAAATCAAGTCTTCCCTTCCAATTGCAGGAAGAAATGATTATAAATATCCAATTTTTACAATCAAATCAAACAGTAAGTACACAACCTACATAAGGAGGTGTAGTCAAGTTAGTTTGTAGTAGATGTGTCCTTTAATGTATGAGACCTGTGTTTACTTGCAATATGTAGGTTGTGTCCTTGCAGAAAGCAATTATTATAAATATCCAATTTTATAATCAAACCAAATAACAAGGACACAACTTGCATATTCCAAGTAAACAAAAGTATCCTACATAAAAGGACACATTTACTACAAACAAACTTGAACTAGTCCACCTACTAGACAGTTAGAAAGTCTATAACATCTGATTTCACATCAAACGAGCCACCGAGCAGCAGTCGTCAAGGTCGCACTCTCTTGTTGCTGCACGATGGGCATTTGTACTGCTTAATATGCTCAGCCCTTGCTGGCGTAATCTTAACACACTTCCCATGGAACCATTTCTCGCAAATATCACAGCAAATCCAGAATTCATCCGCTGCATAATTCTCTCCACAAGCCCCACATAACGTCTCTCTGTGCTCCTCATCGTCGTCCTCTTCCATACCATCTTCACCCTCTTCCTTTGCCATTGCCGCCTTCGGATACTTGGGCTGAGACTCAGAACCTCGCTGCATATTTTCAAACATAAAAGGGAAACAAAAATATAATTTATAACGTCTGCTTCCCTTGAAGTTGAAAAGTTATCTCAAGCTTTCGGGTTCACTAGATTGGATTTCTAATGAATTTCTTTCTATTTTTGGTATAAAAAATGGAAGCCATGCTATTTTTCAGACACAATCTATAGTGGTAACTAGATTTTGATAAAGAAAATCCACAACCAATGATAAAATCAACTCCATAAATCCTTCAAACTGTGAGAATAATGTAATAGTATGTTTTTACACAGGCATCAACCAACTTTAACCCTAAAATTTAAACAAATTAACATTGAACAAAACAGCTAAGCAAAAGGAAAAATGTCCCGTACCTTGGAGTTTGATTTAGATTTGTTGCTACTATGATTTGAAACTGATGATTTTTCCTTTGTCTGTTTCTTAGCCACTCCTGCCACAACTTCGAATATTGTCGGAAGATCATTTATCATATTGAAAAGGCGTTTCCTGCATTGAATTGGTCAGTATTATTGCAGAAGAAAACATGGCTCAAAGTATATCATACTTGTTACAGCCAAATGCAAATCTGATACACAGCGTCCCGATTTAAGCATGCTAAATCATGCAAGGCCTAGCACATATCATGTACACAGACACTGTTAAGCGCTTCAAGCTGAGGCCTATACCTAACAATCAGACCAATTATACATCGGACATAGAACACCAAGCTTTTAAACTAATTAATGAGGCTTCCCGAACCAAATGACAAATTCTAGACAAGTTAAACAGTTTAAATAGCGTAATAAATTTTACCTTAAAGCGAAGATCCGTTCACGAAAGAAACATGTCAACCAAGAAATTTTCATTATTGACACATAATTAGTATAAAAATACAAATGATAACAAAACACCAAAACTGCAAGATAGTCGAAGCAATTATTTGGATGAAACTGTGTATAAAGTCAAAACGAGATACGATACTTGGGGCAAGGATAAAATTACCTATCAGCTTTATCGAATCCAAACCTAGCACCAAAATAGAAAGCCACAGAAAGTAACCACGCGTCACTGTGTACGGCAACCAAAGACAACCAATCCTTTTCCTGCATCCCATCTCTGGCGAAATTAATACCCAGCGCAGGCTCAGGAAGTTCTGGAGGCACCTCTTCAGCAGGTAAATTCACCTCCCATTGCTCACTGGGGTATCCATAGAGGCAAAGATTCTCCTTCTCTGTAACCAAAGTTTAAAATTTTAATTAACTACCTTCCACTCGTGCATCTGTAACCAAACGCTGAACGGACTTTTTATCCTAATCAAATCCGTGTAACCAACTAATAATCAAATAAAAAAAATCTACATTTGTAAAAAGAACCCATTCTAGTCTACCTCGTCTGAACAAATGTTGTAATAGATCCCTCTTTAGTTCAAAACAATTCATTCTTATCTTAGAAAGGAAAGTTCAAATTAAAAATAGAAAGGGTGTACAAAAACTGATAACTTCTTCTTCATGACATAAGAATTAAACAGAAACAAAAAGTTAGAATTGTAAATACCATTTCATGCGCTAAAATTTCATTTCATTTCACACTAAAGTTCGAATTTTTTCAGTTTAAATTATATATATATAAAAGATAATACATTGAAAAAAATTCCATTCTCTAGATAAATCATTTCCACAAAACGGAAGCTGAGTATAAAAAAACCCAGTACCTGGATCGCACTGATTGTAAAACTCTTCAACATCTGCAAGCAACACCAAAACCAGAAAAGTAAATAAGTAAAATAAACTTTAAAAGATGAAAACCAAGAACTGGTGGTTAAGAAGATGACAAACGAGTAAGACAAAGAGTAGGAATTTCAACAAAATAAGGATGAGGAGTAATACCAACAGTGAGAGCTTTAATCATGGCGTCTCGACGACCCTTGAAATCTCGAAATACTTCTTCGACTGTACGTGGGTTGTAGGAAGCACCGCCGTCCATAACACAGTCCTTTTTTTTTTTTTTAGTTTGGGGTAGAGAAGCAGCTAGGGGAAAAGGAAGGAAAGATTTGCTAGAATGGGTTCTTCTTTTTTAATTTTAAGAGAGCATTTGACTGACCAGTTTCTCTCTGGAAGGAAAAAGAGAGAGAGAGCGGAATTTTTAAAGTATTTTTTCCTTCAAAAAGAGAAAATAATTTAAGTGACTGAAAATGTCTTATAATATACGATTTAATTAATTTTTTTTGGATTTATAAAATTGACCAACAAATTCGCAACGCGAACTTCAATTTCGTAATTCAGTTTCCAAATTCGCAATGCGAATATGTAAATCGCAACGCGAATCTGTAAATCGCAACGTGAATTTGTAATTCGCAACACATAAGTCAAATTCGTAACACAGAAGTCAAATTCACAAAGCGCGTTTATTTTCGCAACACATTTTATTTTCGAATTCGAAACACAATATTAATTTCGCAACACAAATGTAAACAATATAATCGCAAATCATAACCTAAAACCCTAAATCACAACTCAGTCTCATCTCCATCTCTCACTCTCTACGGCGACATCCGTCCCTATCTCCGACGAAATCCGTCCCCATCTCTGGCGAAATCCGTCTATCTCCATCTCTCAGAGCCACCCTCACAACCATTCACGGTCACAAATAAAAAAACAACTACTGAGGGTTATTTTTTTAATTATTTTTATTTTGAAATTTTGTATTATTATTAGATTTTTCATATTTAAATTGATGATAAATTTACTGGTAATTTCTTCAATAATAAATTAACCATTTCACTTAGATTGCTTAGTAAATTCATTCGGTTGCTGCCAATACTACTAAACTGTTTAGTCTTTAACCCTGTGAAATTAATATTTGTCTTTGTTTTATCTTTTGGTTGAAGTAATGCAATTCATTCAAGTTTCAATTTGCAGAAGAATAGTTTTTGAAACTTAAATTCGCAACACGAAAATGAAAAATCGCAACGCGATTTTAGTTTCGCGTTGTGATTTTAAGTTTCAGAAACTACTCTTCTTCTGCAAATTGAAACTTGAATGAATTGCATTACTCAACCAAAAAATAAAGACAAATACTAACTTTACAGTGTTGTGAATTTAAGTTTCAAGAATAAACTACTACTCTTTAGGTTGTCCTTGAACCTGCACTAAACCTATATGTTGTCTATAAGTGCTTACTTCTGGAATGTTATCTGATGTATTTTGTGAACTATGATAGAATAATGACTTGGGTGAATATCGTGCTAGTTTAAAACATATTTGGCTTTGTTTTCACTGTTTAATATCATGTCTGTTTATAGTGTATAATTTGTAGTTTTTGATATATCTAACTTGGTATGTTTATTGTTTTTGTTAGAAATTTTTTCGGCTTCATTAACTCTAAGGAATAAATTAAGCCTAGCCACTACAATAGGGTCTACACTTACACCTGTACAAAGAAAATTGTTTGAGGATTCTTGCTTCGGGCCATAGCTGAAAGTACAACATCCAGGTGGAGATATTATGTTGACCCATTTGTTTCTTCAGACCATGACTAATGATCTACCCGAGAGGATACAACGTGGTGATGAAGAGATATGGTTTTATTTTCCACCGACGTATACTTGTTTTGGGCGGGAGGAGTTTTTCTTAATCACTGGTCTACGCTTCGGACACGATGAAGTAGGTCGGTACACTAGTCATATCGCCCGCCCATCATGGTTATCTAGGGTTTTTCCTGAGCTGGCAAAGACGAAGCACAGTTTACACGTCGACGACTTGAAAAGATTACTTGTTAAAGATGGTTTTACTCAGATGGATGACCTCGATGTTGTCCGAGTATGCCTTTTATTACTTTTGCATGCCGGTTTTTTAGGCAAAAAGGCCATACAACCTATTTCTGAGGACCTAATATTATTGTTAGAGGACTTAAATGCATGGAACGTCTTTCCGTGGGGTTCATATCTATGGAAAGCTACATGAAAAAAGTTATCATCTGCCTTTGAGGACCGAAAAAGTTTGCGTGGCCATTGTTCCAAATACACTTTGACATGCTTTATTTGGGCCTTTAAGGTAAGAATTTCTATATAATTTTTCCAATATTATAATTAATTATTTAACAATTACTAATGTTTGGTTATTATATTGTTTGTAGATTTGAATATTTGAGGCTTTTCCCAGCATGTAGACATATGCAATCAAAAATTCAAATGATACTCCTAGGGCTATTTCCTGGAGGAGGATTCGGCTGTTGGATTGGAAAGAGTTACTACCATATACGACGATGAATGATGTAAGTTAACACAAATACTACCATATATAAACAAGTTATTACTAGTAGACGTTTAACTTTGTTTGAGATTTTATATTGTTAGGAGTCCAACTATCCATTACAGAAGCTGACACCCACAGAGGCTGTGCTTGCCACTGATTGGTGGCAAGCTAGTAAGTGTTGTTTTGATGGCACGGATGATGAGCACCCCCGCTTCGAGTTCCATCACCTGATCGAGCCGATTCTACAGCTCGACACCCATAGTCATCACCTGATCGAGCCGATTATACACCTCCACAACGAGAGCCATCACCTATTCCATCACATCATCGAGCCTCTTCTCCACCATCACCTCATGATAGGCGACTGGAAAAGACGCCACGACATTTATCTCCCTGTTCTCCACCTCCACGGGATGAGTTAGGGGAGTTACGTGATGAGGTCAGTGCTTTGCGTGAGGAGGTTGATACTTTACGTGACGACAATGGTGCATGGCGTGATGAGGTACGGTCTTTACGTGGTGAGGTAGATGTTTTACGCGATGACAATGGTGCTTTACGTGGTGAGGTATCTACTTTACGTGATGAGGTAGCCGCTCTAAGTGAGATTATTGCATCGTTGTAGAATGAGGTTCATACTCTACGCAATAAGGTAAGTTTGTTTAATACTATACTAAAAATGCAAATAACCTTTTTTTGGTATTATTTATTTGTTTATTTACTGATTTTTGTATTAATTTATTTTTAGCGGCCTAATAAGGTAGATGCTTTATGTAGGGTTTTTCTTGTACGACGGGGTTCACGCATCAGACGTCGTGCACGTGCCATTACATCTCCTTTCACCCCAATACTTCCAAGACTCCATAAGAAGAAGCCTGATTCACCTGTCATCGTTCAAGAGGCCCACCTATCTTTCAAGAGGCCTCTCCCACCGTTCAAGAGGCCACTCTCATCATTCAAGAGGCCACTCTCACCGTTCAAGAGTCTGATTCATATCGCATATTATATCGACATATTGATAAACCCCCTCATGTGTCCAATATGATGGATTCGAGTTGGCTTTCATATCAGTTATCGGTCAGTACCATTTCGGTATCTGAAGTGGAGAGGAGAACACTACCAGACACAATTAAGGATAATACCCTTTGGGCTAAGACCACAATTGATTTTTATCTACATGAGCGGAGCCAGGGGTATTACGCTGACATATGCAAACTCGACGATGATATTCATTTGTTTCTTGATCGGTGGGGTGTTTTATTAGGGGTTGAAGACAATGGCTATTTCGAATGGGGGGTAAGTCTTATATTCTTCTTATATTGCATTTTGATTAATTTTTTTTAAAATTTATTAAATTCACTAATAAATTTATTTTTTTATAAAACAACATATTGATGCATGGGTGTCACGTCTTCTGATAATAAGGTAATTGAAGAAAATAAAAAATACACGATAGACTATTATGCCTTCGTCTTTTCACGTTGTTCACTTAAAGGATCATAGAGACGCTTCATATGTGTTGGGTAATGAAAAAGCTAAACTTTATCCTGCGTGGTGGGACTTGGGAGGTCGATAAGGTTAGTATTTATTTTTGAATATTTTAAAGGTGTTCATAAATTTTATTTGATGTGCGCAATTGAATTATTATTTATTATTGCAGGTGTTTATCCCTGTTATGGAACGTCGTCATTGGCTTCTCGTTGAGCTTCAACTCCCATCCCTAAAGATGATAGTATATGACAGCATGTTGAATTACATACCATTTTCTGATCTGAGAGATATTATTTGTAAAGGATGGAGCGCTCATTTGGCTAAATACTTGGATGCGATTGATTATTGGACTAATTATGGAAACAAGAAGCCAAAGAAGTTCAAAGTTACAATGATCAAAGATGAGACAGTGCCACAACAAACGGAGGGAGCCAGAGGGGATTGTGGTCCTCTCGTATGCATGTGCTTGGAACGTTTGATGACAGAAAGTAAACAGTTTCTACCTCCCACAGATAGAGATAGAGATGTAGTAGGTTTATGGTTTCGTCATTTTATGGCTAGAGCGATATATGCGAGACGTTGCCTACCTGCATCCGCGTGCTGAAAGTATGCATAAACAACACAAATTGGTAAGTTTGAGCAAGTGTTGTTAACATATATACTCTTTGTTGGTTTGAAAATGTTTGGTTAAGTACCTAGATAATTTGTTGTTTGTTGGTTTTAGATGTGTAGAAAGTGTTGTTTGAGCAAATGTTTGGTTTCTACAGGTTAATCCTGAAGTGAGCTGCGTGAAATTGATGTATTTGTGCATAAACAACCAGCTGTTGATTTGTTTTTTTAGATGTGTAAATAAGAATTGTTTTTTGCTTGTTTAATTGATTTGTTGTTTAAGAAAATTTCAATCTGCATTATGTTGAAGGCAAAAAAGATCTGTTGAAGGCAAAAAAGATCTGTTGAAGGTATACTTTCACAATGCGAAAGTCAAATTCACGTTGCGATGGTTGCGAAAGTCAAATTCGCAACGCAAAAATCAAATTTGTAACGTGAAAATCGCAATGCAAATTTGACTTTCGCAACCATCGCAACGCGAATTTGACTTTCGCAACAATCGCAACAAAAAAATTGCAACGTGAATTTGATTTTCGCGTTGTGAATTCAAGAAAAACACCTTCAAAAAGATAACAAACAACAATCTGATAAGTGATAACAACTGAAAAGATCATAGTAATGTTCAAGCTTAAGTTACTGATGAATGTCTAACTGAAAATGTATGCATTCACACATAAAATACACATAATATAACGTATGCATTTAAAAACACATAAGTTAATAAGTCCCAAAAGGTGAAGC